CAAAGGGCAGTACATCAAATTTCAAAACAAATGTTTTCCAAGTGTTTTTGTTGAATTATTTGCATGGATAGTAATAAAATGGACAAAAATATTGACAGTGAGAACAAATAGGTATTAATAAAAATGCGTCGCTGCAGCATTAAGGGATATGGCATTACCAAAAGCGAGAATCAATCGAATGTAACACTGACAGGCATGGTTATTTTTCTAACTATAAATCACACAATAGCCCAAATATCTCATGTATCAATAATCTTGCCAAATTTTGCTTTGGTTACTTCAGATTGCCTACTTGTTTGTATATTTTGATGATTGTTGTTAATGATTGTTTTGTGATAGTGTTGTTCTTGTAAGCGTACATATTATTGATATTCTGTTATTAAAACAATTCAGAACGAGGTTTTTATTATTATTATTTTTACTTTTTCAAGTTTACCAAGAAATGAAAAGATAATGGTAGGAAATAATAGGACTGCTGAATATAAACATTGGATCAGTTCATCTCTATTTATTCGTTTCATTTTGAAGAGTCAAATTTTAACAGAACTTTGAATGTAACTAGATTACATGATAATGCAATTCCATCACTAGGTTCATTGGTAAATAATTTTATATTTAATTTAGATTCGACAAGACTCATTTACTAAGCATTCTCAGTTCTTGTGAACAAAATTATTCACTCGTTTCCGAATGTTTTCCACTGACAACGGTAATACTAAGAATGACTATTTTTAAAGCCAGCAATACAATGATATGTTTATCCAACGTAAACGTATAGATAGCCTATTTGCCTTGCCTTGCCATCGTTCGGTGTCACTCGTCTAGCTGACTGAGTGAAGGCAAGCGCCAACGTGTATAGAGCACATTTGGCGCTTATCACAAATCAAAGGCGCTCGGCCAATAGTGTTCACACGATTGTCCGTCTGCATACGAAATGCATACTGGTTTTTTAACGCAATTCAAAAAAAATTGCCACAATTAACACAAAACAAAGAAAGTACATACAAATTAACAAGATATTCCCAAATGGAATATTGATTGATACTTTAATTAAATGTTCTAATCATACTTTGGTTACAGTAAACTAAACAAAACAGTCAACATTCAAGCCATACATTTACATGTCGATAATGACTTATCGATAGCTTACGGTACAACACTAAAGAAATCCGCCATTTGTAGCGTTAAATTTTTATTTAAATATGCACGTTCATTCTATTGTCAGGGCAGCTCCTTTCCTTTTTTTTTTATCCTGTAAGAATTTTCCATATTTGACGTTGACACCTGTCAAAAGTTGAAGTTACTGCACGAAAACGTTGGAGCCATTAAAAAGGTTCTTTTCGCTTTTGTGAAATCATTTTAAATCACGTTTTTCTTTGTGCTTTAGCTGTAACACTAATTATATAATTCACGCTAAATTAAACTACAAAAGATGCTTTTAAATGTAGAACATAACATTATGAGCCTTCGAAATAACATTTTTCCAATTTTTCTAATTTTTCGGGAATTTTTCCGGAAAAATTTCCACTGTTTAAAGTTTTTCGGAAAGTTATCCCAACAGTAGTTCAAACACAAAAAGAAATTCTTTCTTACCGGCTGGATTCGAACCAACGCCTGTTTGCCAGACCGGGTCTAACCCAATCAGCAGACCTCACGAATTTTCTATTTGCTTGATGCCGTCTTTTTTTGCCGCAGCATGAGTATTACTTATTTCTGCCTCCAAGCAGTAGTCCCGTTCCGGTTTTGAAGGGTGTTGGTGAAATTACGGGTACGTGGGACTTGTCAACTTATGTCTCAGGGTGACAAGCGCAGTGGCAGTACCCTTCAGATCGTGCCACAGTAACTATTATCGACAGGCGTGTAGTTTACCACTAGGCACACGATTTGTTTGTCCCTTCACTTGATATTATAAAAAAAAACTTATTTTTATTTTGCAGACATTACGTAAGGGTTTCGCGCCATACGTATTAGTGATGATGGCTAAATGTTCTTTTATAGCAATTTTTTTTTAGATTGCTATGATCGTTTCGTGTAAAGGAACTTACTAAATTTGATATGCATTGCCTTGCATGCTGTAACAAAATGCAAGAGCGTTTGCAGACAATGAGATAAAAAATGGAATCAAGTCTTTGAAATCAAAGTTTATTTAGTTAGTTAAAAAGCTTCATGCTTACTGTAATACGACAGTAACCATGGAGAAGATTCATATCGTTTATTTTTTAATCAAATTACTTCATTATTCTCTTATAAAAATTATCAATACAAATAATCGAACAGGAAGAAAAATTTTTTCGCTCTGACAGGATTCGAACCTGTCTTTTTTATAATATTTAGGTGACGGGACTCCATAACTTGCAGTACCATTTAGAGCTTTAAATGACAAAGATCTCGGAAGCACTGCGACTACCCCCGACACCCCTAGACATAAGTTGACAAGTCCCATGTGTTTGTAATATCATCAGCACCCTTAACTCTTCAAAACCGGAACGCAGTATGGCTTACATTACTGCTTGGCAGCAGAAATAGGTAAGGTGGCAGTACTTCCCCGGACGAACTCTTTTACAAGGAGATCTATTGCTACTAAAACTTAGTGCACAAGCGACATCCGAAATGGATCCTAGTTTTCTAGATCTATATAGTCTCGGATTCGGAAAAATGTAATGAATATATTACTAAACAATTCTTTTAACAATAATTTCGCCATTGTTTTTTGTCTAACCAGTAACAAGATACCGTCTGTAGCAATTATCAAGCCGGAGACGGTACAGTAAGTTTCAATCTGTAACCGAGATCCCAGTTTCAATCAATCAAACATCGACAAATTGCTGTCTTGCCAAATCCATTAGACCCATGCCATTCTTCTTTATTTCTTTTTATGATTTGTAATGTAACGGGACGTATAAGTCTTGCGCCTGGTGGTAAGCTACACGCCTAGCCTTAAGGGTCAATACAACCTTAAATGACTTTGGTTGATTCTGCATAACAGCGAAAGTGTTAAATCAAACTAAACTAACTAAATCACTTTGGAAAAAAAATGTAGTAAAATTGACTTATACACTGATTAGTATACGGTGTGAATATACGATTCCTAAAAATTTTCGTAACAGAAGATAACCGCTCACGCGATACATGCAGCCGTAGACGCATATCACACCTAGAGGTGCCGGTGATGATTTTATACCGAACATCGAATTTATAATATAAATTCGATATTTATATTATAAAAGAAAGAATTTATAATTGATATCGAAGTTATAATAGGTAAAAGAACTAATATTAATTGCTATTTCGGTAACTACTCTAGCAAACCATAAAGTTTTTAATAAAAATAAAATAAAAATAAAATAAAATATTGTTTATTTCAGACTTCGTCCATAGTATTGTTAGTTAGTTAGTAACAATTTGACTTAAAATTAGGTTAGTACATAAGTAATTAATCTATAAATTTATAATAAAATGCTACAAGAAGGAAGGGCACATATACAACTCCTACACATCTAATTTCGGATATGGACATATACCCCCCTCTGTAGGTCCATCCAATATTTGAGGATCGGGCCCTCACACCTATCAGCTATCATCTTCAGGACTCCGTTGGTGCTGCAACGCAATCTGCATCTCAGGGAGTTCGCCTTTTTACGCATGATCGCATAGAAATCGTCAATACGGGCTTCGGCAAACATCCCCGACGCACTGCAGAAGCGCGGCCTCCCCAACAAAGCCCTGAAGATGTTATTAAACTGAACGCGCAGAGCACTGTAAGCACATTTGCTATATGAGATCCACAGACTGCTCGTGTAAAACGACTGGCAATATGTCTTAAATATGTGTAATATGCCTGGGTCTGTCATTTAAAAAAAATAAACAACCTCAAAAATACGTCACGACAATCGTGTGTGTTATTGTTTGGGCTGGTGATTTCGGTGTTTATTTATTGAAAACATACCGTAAGTCACGTTTTTAAAGTTTACCCTGAATATAAATGTTTATAAACTATACTTTAAGGAGTAATTTCACGGTAAACGTTAGAACCACTCAAACGGAATATTATCATATTTATCCAAGTACACCAAAAATTTCGTTAGTGCTTTTTAAGTGCAGGATTTGCGGTGTATTACTGCATTTTATTTGAGATGTTTTTGTTGGTAGTACGGAGGATATTTATTTAGCAATGCAGAATAATAATTTTTATTTATACAAACTTGTATTTAAACTGAATACTTTTCTAATTTGCGAAACCAAATAGCCGCCATTTTGCGGTAGTAGGAGCGCATCGCGTGAGCGGATAAACACAAACTTACCTCGAAATTTTACAAAAAAAAACCGCTGTATTCAATTACTGTTACCAATGACTTTTTTTTATATCAACTGAATTAAATAGAACATATTTTTCAAATGGCTCTAATGTCGTTTGTAGAAAAAGAAATTCTGAAACAAAGCCACTCGACTCGCGCAATGGAACCGATTCAATACTGCCCGTATTAACGGTGCCAGTAATTTTACCAGCATTCTTACCCTTCAAAATATGAACGCAGTAATGCTAACATAACTGCGTCGAGGTAGATATAGGTAAGGTACAGTACTTCCCTGGACGAACACTTTCGTAAGGAGCTTTACTGCTACCAAATACTACTATTGTGTGTCAATCTAGAGCAACAAGGAACATATTATTTTCTTATTTAGAGTTAACTGGTTACCGACACAGTATAGATATAGTATAGACACAGTTTTTGACCGATTCACTACGCATGGTTTTATTTCCAATGTTCGATACCGTAAACTTACAGGATGAAGAAAAAATTGTTTGCGTCCTTTATATAGCATCTGGTTGATCAAATAAAAATACGAAGTTTTTAAATATTTTTATTACACATATGTATGTATGTGCACTACGTATTTTTATTTAATAAACCCTATATAAATGATTTCTTCTTCGTCCTGTAAAGTTGTCAAAATTGAGATGGTACCGGTTGCCAGTTCACAGTCGATATGTTAGTTTTTACAATTGTACCTACTTAATTTCATGGTTATAAATTGTAATTATTGCAATTACAAGTATTATAAATAAAAAAAACTAGCAAACCTATGTTGCGTTTTAAAATACTAATCACGCCATCTGTTGTCAAATTTTTGCAACATATCGTTACAAAGGTAGACCTGACCTCACATCAGGCCGTTGACATAGGCTTCCTTGGGAAAAAACACCCGCGTGCACGTACAACACCCTCTCTATTGTCCAGATAGGTCGAGGCCTGGACCAATTAAATTTTCTTTGTCCTGTTTTCTCTGTTTGCTTGATGCCTTCTTTATTTATTTGCTTTTCTGAGATCTATCTAGAGTGCCTTTTTTATCTTGAAATTGACTGGTGTATTTGTTTTTTAAGCTACCAACCTATACCATTCTCAGCGACTGATTGAATAGAACAAAAAATTATATGTGATTGGAAGGACCGTTAATAGGTCAAATAATTTCATTTTCTACATAAATAAAAAATAAATACTAATAAGAATAAATTATTACAATAAGAAGCTAACTGTTTTTTAGTAGCATTAGAGTGAAAGAGTTTGTCCAGGGAAGTACTGCCAACTTACTTATCTGTTTCTACCACCAAGCAGTAATGCCTACATTACTGTATTCCAGTTTTAAAGGTGCTGGTGAAATAACAGGCACATGGGACTTGTCAACTTATATCCCAGGCTGACGGGCGCAGGGGCAATGCCCCTCAGATCTTTGTGATGTAAAACTCTGAGCGGCACTGCATCTGTTAAGTACAGGCGTGTCGCTTACCATCAGGCCCACGACTGTTCTGTCCCGTCACTTAATGTCATGAAAAAAATTTCACATAAAATCTAAAACTCAGAAGTGCAAGCTCGGATTCGAAGCCACGACCTGACTCTGCATGACTGGCGTTGGGTCCAACCGTGGCTGTCACGGCCACGCTACAACGTATACATACAAATAATAATATTTACCTATTTAAATATTGTGTTTTTAAGTATTAATTTTTATAAACTTTGTTTTCTTTCTACTCTGTCTGTGTACACAAATTATACGTTAATGGTATATTTTGGCGATTCATTTGGGAGGGCAAAACCATCGTCAATTTGTTCCAAACCCCTCGCGGATTCATTTATAGAACTATGGTGTATTGTTTCGTGGCCTTATTTTAAGGTATTACTTACATATACTTTCATTTAAACTTTCACGATTTTCAGACATTATTTCATTTTTAATTACTCAATACTCAAGTCCGGACTTGAGTATTGCAGTGAGCACTGAAAATCATACTCAAGGCCTTGCAATTAGGGTCGTATTTCCAGTGCTTGAAATCATACTCAAGTCTGCTCAAATCCTGACTTGAGCATTGAGTAGAGTTCTGAAATACGACCCCTAATCACGTATAAAACATATTTTAATTACCTCGACGTTTCGGACGAATTGCAACGTCCATAGTCTCGAAGGGACTGAAGAAACGGGTGTCAGCTTCTTTTTGCCGTGCGAGTTTTTATAAATACACGCACTTGATCTTCATTATTTATTTGAGCACTAGGGTTCTCATTAGACCGACATACAACACTCACGACATCCGGCGACTTGTCGGGCGATACTCGATGTCGTATACATTTGCTTATAACTGGATGATTAAGTCCCGAATTAAAAATCAAATAATATTACTAACATTTCCATCAACCCAACGTAGCAGAAAAGAAACGTCTGCCTGTCGAACACTTGCCGCAAGCTTCGACAAACAAGCATATGCAAGCTTGCGCAAGCCAATTCAAACACACCATCACACACGTTTTGTGCTTGCGCGCCCTTTCCATGGTTTGGCAATCGTGTGGAGCCGACATAAGGTACTAGCCGATTGTTGCTCAGGGTCCGCCAGCTATATGAGAAAGAAAAGGTAGTGGTCCGTTATGCGGGGAGGTCTTTTCGTGCCGTTACAATAATATTGTATTTATATGGCGAACGGCTGTAGAGTGGAATTGCAGTCCGCAGACTTATTCTCTTGAGCCTTTTCAAGGTGAGAGTGAATGGGCATTACATAGGTGTGCGTGCTTAATCGTCGATCTCGTCGTCACTTTCCAACAGGTGAGATGAAGGTCAATTTACAGAAAAAATAGAGTTCTTAGGTTTTAAGACAGTCAGCCGAGAAATGACCAAATGTCATTTTGATACAACACGTAACTGGCTTTTGTCTAATTGTCTATTATTTTTGTTTTTTTTTGTTTCACTCCATTGACTTACAAATAAATGGACGACGGGTCTAATACAAAAACCACGAAAAAAATGTCCCAAGTCAACCTATTCGAAATTTAAATTATAATGTCATCGCAGTATCGCGCTGTCAGTCGAACAAATGAAGACTAAAGCGGAGTTTGGCGCTCTGTATACGATTTTAGTGCCTTATAAGTGCGGACACTTTTTAGCGCGGACCCGACGTCCATATAATTGTAAGTCAATGTTTCACTCGCTATTTGTTTTAACTACTTATTATTTTTTCATGTAACTTTGTTCTTTTTTTGCTCTTTCTTAAAATCTGTTTTTGGCTTTGTTAAACAATTTATTATATTGTACCATGTTGGTAAAAATTCGTAAATGGCATTGGATTACTCATATTTAATTATAACAATTTATTATTTGTCCGTGAATTTTCTTAAAATGTATATAAATAAAATCAATAAATAAAAAGAAACTGTCATAAAAATTACGTACCTAAATCACATTTTTTTTTCGCACTAACAAACATTTTGGACTCTTTACAGATCCATGGACACTGACCCGTCCTATCTACCTACCTAGTTGGCTTATAGTTTAGTGTATTTCTCTCAACATTACAAATTTCACACAAATACAATTACATATCAATTTATACTACTCTTCGAAAAGTGAGCGTCAGTTTACAAAATAATAAAGAAATAATAATACAATAGTGAGTCATAAGCACACAATAGTGTACATATACAAAATCAACAAAATTAATTAAACTAATAAATAATTGAATTAAACTCTCAATGTCAAGTGTATACAGGAAATGTCAATATGGATTCTTAATAACTAATAAATGTATATTACAGTATAATAATATGGTGAATGTCAAATCCATTAATATATATAATAATTTAATTATTTATTAAGCCCTTTGAGTGTACTCTGATACTGAGTAAAGGGACTTTTCCAATAAAAGGTTCTTCAGTCTGCACCTAAACGTTTCCTCACAGCATTCGTTTTCTAGTTCGGTGGGTAGGTGCTCATATATCCGCTGGTTATAGGTCGGTCCTATAACCAGCGGGATTTTTTCGGGAAGTGCAGTGCGACGCGGTACTGATCGGAGTTATCCCGCACGACGGAGGCACCCACCCATCGCCTCCACTCGCCCAAACGGTGCTAAGTGTTTCCACGTGAACATAATGACCTCAAAAACATATTGCGAGTAGTGGGTCATTATTCGGTGTACACCAAGCAGCGCCTTGCAGGATTGCCTCTGGGTTATGCCAACCATAGTTCGTTATAGATCGTGACTATGATGGGGAAGTAACATTTACTAGAGCTAGACCCACCGAATTTGTCCTCATTGGACTAATTTCGACGACTAATAGATAGACAGATAGCATGGAGTATATAACCGGAAATAGAGACGAAATGGCATTTAATTTGTGTGAAAACTATTCTGCCATGTCATTACTGTAACAACAGCGCTCCGATTGACCAGCCCGAATTCGAAACAATTGACGGGTGTCGTCAATTATTTCACTTCAAATCGACAGAGTTTAACTATGGTTTAACTTGAGCTTTGCTATAATGGACGAAAATTGCAAAATTACATATTTAATATGTAATTACCGATGAAATGTGATTCCTCTTGTTTTTCCCACACCATTGAATGGAACAGCCCCCATTGTTAGAGATATTATCTTTATTACAGTGAATACAGAATATTTTTGGAATATACGGAGACGTACACACAGGTCAGTTGTTGGCGCTGTACTATTTCAGTTTTCTGATTTCAGTGCAAACGATAAGTAATATTTAAAAGTGATGTAAGGCCCATTTGCGTGACTAGTTGTAGGGGATGAATGGCCCTTATTTCATCTCTGTTTCTGGTTATATACTCGAAGACAGATGGTGACCATTATAGGCACATGAGACTTAACAACAGACGTGACGGGCGCAGTGGCTGTGCTCCACAGACCTTTTTGTTTTAAAGCTTTGAAAGAACTGCAACTGTTATGGACAGGCGTGTCATTTACCATCAGACGCACGAGTTATTCGTCCCAGCACTTGGTATCATATAAAAAAATTAATAGAATTTTTTTAAGGTTTCATTTTTCTGCCGATTTCGTAACGGCTTGTTTTTTTACGTGAGAGCAGTGTTAGTCTGCCACACAACACCTATGTTGCTGGAGCACCACACTCGACCTTGCCGGTTAGCGTAGCTAGCTTTACTTTACTACCAGCAATTCCCCTGTCCGCTACCCGGAGGCGCTCCTCTACGCCACAACGGTCCACGGTACGCGACGAGGTCCGAGATATCAGACCTGAGGGAGCTGAATGTGCCCAAATGGTCGAAACCGGCACAAGACCGCAAGAAATGGCATATTTTGGTGTCGGTGGCCAAGATTCACTTCGGGTCGCTGAGCCAGCTAAGTAAGTAAGTTCAGTCTCAATCGTGACAGTTAAAACAATATATACCTTAATTTGACTTTTCGTACCATGACGCGCTAAAAGTAAGCTTATTATAATGTTAAAACTGTAATGTTTTATTTGCAGCTTTGCGACTACTCATTCCCCAGATTGTTCTTATGTCAAATTTAGCAATCTTAAAATAGCTACTCGGACGCAGTGGAAACAAAATTATTTTCGAATTTTATTGTCTAAGTATTGATTTTTAATGATTCAAAGTTATGTTGAACTTGTTTATTTACATAAATCTCTCCAATTTTTGTTTATTTTTTAATTTAATAGTACATAGGACATAATTTCTCGTTAAATAAAAATACGCGATGTTTATTTCGTAAAATCATAACAGCGACATCTATACGCTCCTTGGCGACACTAACAGTTGGCACTAGACTATAATTCCGAATTCACAACGTAACCATCAAGACTCAGCTTGTTTTATTTATTTTACTTCATGAAATGCGGATTTCTTTTTCTAACAGTTAATATGCTCTGAATGTAAATAACATTAAGTACTTAAACATTATACTACGATAAGACGATTCGGAACATCAAAACAGAAAGATTATATAGTTCATATAGCGTTATTTCTTTCCTATTTTTAGTGAGGAATAGACAATATTGGGAAACCATTCGTTCTTTCAATCACTTTAGCAATAATACATTACTTGGTTGACAGGTTTGTCATGGTACGAATGTCATATTATAATAAGCTTTACGCTTACATTGAAATAAGAATGTTTTTGGAAAGGTTATAGTAGGCCTCCTAGGTGAACACATCCTACACTATTGCGCGTGATACACTATTGCGTTCATCAGTTGTGCACTCTAACACGCGGTCTATTCTGTGCTAATAACCTTTACACGGTCGCTCTTTCCGTTGTAACAAAAACGAACACGAGAAATCGCGCGCGTAAGAACGTTGGCTTAAAAAAATTCAAAACAGGTAATCGCGCACGATTGCGCATGCAGGTTTTCCCGCGCGCAATACTGTACTCTCCTGATGACGCGCGATAGAGTGACTGTGTAAGGAGGCTATTTAGATCCGTAGAAAAAAAAGTTTCATTGCCAACTAAGTAATATCTAGGCATCGAGTATATAACCAGAAATAGAGACGAAATAAGGGCCATACATTTCTTCCATTCATAAATATCAACTCTCGTTTGCACTGAAATATAGACAGCGCCAATAACTGACCTGTGTGTACGTCTCCGTCTATTCCAAAAATATTCTATATTTATTGTAATAAAGAAAATATCTCTAACAATGGCGTGCTGTTGCATTCGATGGTGTGAGGAAAAACAGCATAACATCTAATTACAAAACAAATGGAATCAAATTTCATCGGTTTTTGTCCATTATAGCAAAGCTCAAGTTAAGTGGTCGTTTGAAGTGAAACAATTGACGACACCCATTGACGACACCCGACAATTGTTTCGAATTCAGGCTGGCCAATCGGAGCACAGTTATCACAGTAATGATACGGCAGAATTGTTTTCAATTTTTTTACATTTCGTGTCTATTTCTGGTTATATACTCGATGTATCTAGGCAATATCGAATTCTGTTTATAGTGTAACCTCTTATTACTATTCTGATGGACACATCTCTATCGTAGATTGATGAAAAAGTAATTTGTGTTAACAAGAACAGTAATTTTATCTTGAAAAATAGTGGTAGATATATGATGGAAATAATTACGAGTTTCTTTATAAAAAATACCTACCTGAAAAGTATATGGAATTACATTTACCATTTGCCAAGTTTTATTGAGTTAGAAGTGGTATATTTTTAAAATATTAATATAATACTTCAAATTCAAATTTGAAACCACGAAGATATCCCCTTTCCAACAAAAAAAGAATCATCGAAATCGGTTCACACATGACGGAGTAATCATGAAACACGTACAAATTATACCCATATTTTAGAAACAGTAGAACTTCTTGAGAAAGAGTTCGTTCAGGGAAGTACTGCCGCCTTACCTATTTCTACTGCTGAGCAGTAATGTGACCATTGCTGCGTTCCGGTTTTGAGTGTACTGGTGAAATGACAAGCACATGAGTCTGGCGCACCCAGGGCAAAAATCGGCGAGCAGCTTATGCTATATATTATACGCCATTGATACGATTAGAAAAAGAAGGTGACGAGCGCTAAGTAGCAGTAAAATAGCAGTAAATATTACCAAAATGATCTCCAATCAGATTTTTGTAAGAAGACAGAATATTCCTCAGACCTCGTTACGCTGGCTGTCACTGAAGCTATACTAATTTATAACAAAATACCAGGCATCCTCACGAAAGTAGATAGTGACAACGTGTTTAAAACCAAGTTGAGGTCTCTCTTGTTAAGTAAATGTTATTACAATATGGGAGACTTCATGAACTCTCCTATAAGCTAAAAGAGTCCAGTTTCAGATAAGTAATTTTAAGTCTATGTAATACTATGATCTAAAGTTTATTAATGATAATTTTAAGATCCTATATGTATTAGTTCCTAAATGTTATTATTATTATTTTTTGCTATTATTTTTATTTTTACAATTTTAATATTACGTTTAATAATAATTAATTGCTGCACCCCAAAGGGGTATGTATGTACTTATCACCTATGTAATTTTTGTACCTACATTGTTTGCAAATAAATAAATAAAGAAAAGAAAATTATGAAATATAAAACAACTTGACTAGGTGCAAATCAAAAGTACCTTACCTTTTCTGCCGGCAAGCAGTAATGCGAGCATTACTGCGTTCCGGTTTTGAAGGGTAAGGGTACTGGTGACATTACAGGCACATGGGACTTATGTCTCAAGGTGATGGGCGTAGAGGCAGTGCACTTTAGATCTTTGCGATTTAAAGCTCTGAGTGACACTGCAACTGTTATGGAAAGGCGTGTCGATTACCATCAGGCGCACGACTTGTTAATCCCATCACTCAGTACCATTTAAAAAAAATTGTCGAATTGAAAACCTTCTCCATTTTTTTGTTTGTGGCAGTCTGCTTCACAAAGACACAAAATTTCTTTTAAATAGAAAAGTATGCTCTAATTATTTACTGTAAAAGACCTCCGTGGTCGAGTGGCTTGCATACCGGTTTTCATCTCTGAGGTCTCGGGTACGATACTCGGCCATGTTATTGAAGTAAACTAACTTTTCTATGTTGTCTTGAGTCTGGGTATTTGTAGTACCGTTGTTTCCGATGTCCATAACACAAGTGATTTAGTTACTTACTTTGGGATCAAAGCAACGTATGTAATGTTGTCAATGATCTTATATAAAAAACAGGCAGATGTGTTAGTAGCGTCCTCGTAGTGAAGATTCGAATCTCAGTCAAAAGACCGACTTTGCAATCAGTCTGCGTCGAGGAAAGACACAAACCTGACATGTGTAAAGTTGCAGAACAGTAAATAATTGAAGATAGAGATAGCAAATTATTCCTATAGCGAGTGCGACAAAGATGCATGACCTCCTATCATAAATTATGTACTTACACACCTCCTAATACAAATTATGTAGGTACACCAGCTATTTACTAGCTATTTTTGTAACTAATTTGTGTTTGCATGGACGAGCTGGAATTTTTTTTTTTACCTGACAGGCAAATGACTCCACTCCACCTGATGTTAAGTGGAAAGTGGTATCCAAACGCGAAGGAACCTAGTGCAGCGATAATTTATCAACGCTACTGTAATTTCTAGTGATAACAAACAAATCAACTAGATGGCTTTACTGCCGGCTATTCTTTTGTTTTGTTTAGGATTAGCGCCATCTAGCCATATTAGGAAGCGTTAATATAATATAAAGAGGAAATAATAGATATCCACGCCCATTTACGTAGTGCTACATCCTGTCTGGAAGGAGTTTTTCGGAGTAACGATCAGTAGTACGGAGGTTAGCAATGCTCTTGCGTTGTTGGTCCACGGTCTAAATGAACTACAGGCTGCTCGTATAGAACGATAGTAGACGTTTTTTATAATACGAACAAGACGGATGGTAAGCGACACGCCTGTCCATAACAATTGCTGTGTCGCTCAGAGTTTTACCGCAAGTATCTTAGGTAAACTACCATTGCGCCCGTCACCCGTTGAAAAGTTCCATGTGCCTGTAATTACCCTTATTATATTACTGCAGATCGCCAATGCTCTACGTTTCCTCATTATATCGGCTAACTCTCTATCAATGTCTCAATCAATGTTTAGAAGCAATACCTCCTGCTAACGGTGATAGGATGTATCGTGATAAAATCCTTAGAGGGGACACGTGCGCGGCTGTGGAACATAAAATGGATTCTAAATATGATGAAATGTAATCTGAAATAGATACACAAGACATTGTTCCAAACATAAATGTAAAACAATCCAACCTTATTATTCTTGGCAACGAAAACGCACACAGGTAAAACAATTGCATAATAAAAGCTTCTCTATGGAGTTTCAACAGTGAACAGTGTATTCATGAAAGTGCTGAAAGGGTCCGAGTGACGCATGCGCGAGCCCGCCCCTCTCTAGTGACGCGACGTACGCCGCACCGGGCGCACGCAGCGCCTCCCTATTCCCCGCGAGCTCCAAATTCAAATATGATATTCGAAATTCAAGAGTGACCCAACCGAAATTTTCGAAACGTTACTTTTTTTGAGTGAGTTTTCTTTTGTGCCGGTTTCTAAATTTGTCTATGGTGTAACGGTTTTTTTTCTGAATTTTTAATCGCTGTGCCGCAGTGGCGTGGTGCTGCAAATGTGAGGCTCGTGAAAACTACCTTTGATTCAGGTTCGTAAATTTAATTACAAAGTTGCGTGCCCCGTTCTATAACCGTTTCCCCTATTACTATGTATATGAGTTATTTTTGTTAACCAGGCTGACCTTACTTCCTTTCATGATGAACGCGAAGTAACAATAGGTGAAATGGGTTTAGTTACTTAATTATAAATAATAAATGTGTTAATTGTAACTAAAACTGCTTTAGTGTAAGCTAGTGAGTTTATTAGTTTAAGTATACTTTTGTTCGTCCATTAATTAGACATTCCTTTCTTCTAAGTCTTATTTATAAATCAAGTTTCCAATTATTGTTGTAATTTTAAGTGAGAGACTAATTCTTTAAAAACATAGGTCAAGTAACTTTAGTTATTTGTGAATACCAACATTACATATGCTATGGAAAATAACTTTTTAATTACATTAACTTAAACTCACGTAGTTTAAGTATCTACGTGGTCATGAGGAGTTACAAAATTAATGAGAAATTAATACCGATTACAGATGTTATGTAAATCATTACATTTAATTTACAATGAACTCGTTTACTATGGTTTAACACCCTCATCAATCAAGCCTCGCTTAATTACGTAAACAGTAACGCCCAGCATATTATACACAAGATTTAACTGCCTATTACATACTGTAGGTTCATTATAATTTGCTTTAAACTGTCACAAAAAGCTTTGATTGAAATCTGAAGCTTGAAAGAAGATTCACTTAAGCATTTCGACATCGTAAAAAATTCCTAACAATTTTAATAAACTATGGACCAAAAACGTTCCCTTGTTAGACACCTGATACCTTTATGCGATTTATTCTTGTTTCAAACAGAATAATGAAAGTTAATCGTACCAGCAGTAGCCTTGTTGATAGAAAGCTGATCCGATTTCAATTCCAAACACCTACTATTCCGACACTGATTCATGAGCAGCTTACATTACTAATTTATCTTCTGCTTTAACGATGAAGGAAAATTTCGTGAGAATATGTGCTCGAAAACTTTGTATGTAGACCATGGGCCAAAAAGGTCTCCCTGAGGGACATCCTATTTTCTTTGTAGAACTCTGAAAAAATACAATAAAATGCTTATATATCATGCCTATATCTTTTTTCAATTTGGTTTTCAACCGTTACTGTCCTTCTGCAGGGCAAAGGCTTCCCTTTCTTCATTCATCGCAATTTAACGCCGCTATCAACTTCTCATATAAACACAACTCGTCACGCCATCTCTTTCTGGATCTTCCACGTCTTCGACTTGCGTACTGGTCTTTACCCACAATTAGCTTGTCATACGGCAGATTTGTGTCCTGCCCAGTTTCATTTTAGACTAGTGACTTTTGGTCCAACGTCAACTTGTGTTTTGAAATCCCAATAGAAAAGAAAATTCATAGTCGATATGTTAAGAAAGCTAACGATGATTTCAATTAATGCAACAACAACAACGCCTGTCGGTAACACGTAATCCATCAATAGTAATTATGCTGCGCTCTCCGTCAGCTAACTTAAAATAGTACTTAAAATTGTAATTATTTAAACGATCAAGTACCCATAACAGCTTCAGTGCCACTCAAAACTTTAAATGCAACGACCTGCGTATCTCTGCCACTTCTGTTACCCCAAGACATAAAATAATTGTGGTATCGGCAGCAGCCTTAACTTACCCTTCAATCCCCTGAACGCAGTAATCGTTATATTACTGCTTGGCGGTAGAATAGATAATGATCACAGAGTTTTCCCGGACGAAATCTTTAAACAAGGACTTCTACTGTTACTAATTAATAATGTGCTACGGAATTGTATGAAATAATTTTATCATCCCCTTGCCATCATCGAAGAAATAGATGCAGGCTAAGGTTATAACCCCACGTTATAGATATATCCAAGATTCTCACGACGCGTCATCCTTCACATCTATATGATGAACGGTTTTGGAGTGGAATTTTTTTTTTTTTTTTTTAGCACACACACACTCAACATAGCCCCGCACTAGGGAAACCCTGTGTCGCGGGTGCCATGGACACACACTTAGACAACCACAAATTACACCCAAACTCACGAGAGAAACAATTGTAGGCCATACAAATATTTCTCCCGGCCCGGGAATCGAACCTGGGACCTCTGCGTGGCAGTCCGGTATGGTAACCGTTCGGCCACGGAGGCAGTTAAAAAAAAAAAAAATTTCCTGCCTGCTTGTTTCCTGAACATTATAATTTGGGTTTTTTCAAGGCGATAGTGAGTCGGCATTATATAAATGTGTCTCCATCGTTGACTTTATCGTCACTTTTCATCAGGTGATATCTCACAAACGTCAAATGCGTACTATTTTATCATAAAAAAGTGTTTTTATGATATCAAATGACGTGACGAACAAGTCGTGCAACAGTTACAGTGCCACTCAGAGCTTTGAATTGCAAAGATCCAAGAGGCAATGCCACTGCGCCTGCCGCCTTGAGACATAAAGTTGCCAAGGCCCATGTGTCTGTAATTGTTATTTTTATTTAATTAAAAGCCGGAACAGGAATGGTAGCAGTAGTAACTTCCCTGGATGAACTTTTTCACAAGCAGTTCTACCACAGTTATATAGTTAATATCCGTGAAATTGGTATCTATAGGTTTTAAAGAAAAAACTTCCTGTGCCGTTAACTAAATCACCCTAACGATCGGTTTAAACGACGTTTAATATGTTATGCACCATATTTCACTTGTCAAACTCACAAATGATTCTCATCAATCTCTCAATGTCAACAATAAATTTCTACTTGTCACTTATTGATTTACTCGTACAAACCGGCCCTAGCAATCCGTTACTTATATATAAACAATAATAACTTTCTGTAATGGTAACATTTAGCTATCCAATACTTTTTTTCAATATTTGTCTGCACTGATAACTATCTTGGTCAAATTTCTTGGTGTCGATGGTCTGTAGTCGTCTAGATCGAAGTTCGGGCTAATAATAAAGTGCCAGAAAACCACCGCAATTACCTGGTCTCAAACTAGGGAATTACCTGTTTTATAAGTACTAAAGCAACATAATTCACCCAAGACCCCCAGACCAGATCTAATAAAAAAAAAGGTTATTTCCAAATTGTCCCTACCAGAAATCGAGTTGGGACCTCCTCATCCAGCATCTACAAAGCAAACCCTACGGTCACCGAAGTTGTTAAAACTTCCATAATTCACAAGAGGTCTTCAACTTTTTAACCCTATATCGTGAGTAAACCCTTGAGCCTCCGGCACTGCTGGTTTACTAACTTTTTAATTTTACTCTGCGGAGTCTTTTGACTTCAACTTTCAAAGATGAAAATGCTCAAGTATGTAGATTTGTTTTGAGAATCAACCTGGTTGTAGTACCAGTATCTGCAAAACTTTATTACCTATCCATTGTTATCTATACTACACTCATGAACATATTACGAGGTACGCTAAAAAAGGTTCAATTGCCACCGCGATAAAGCTATTATATCCACATTTAGCTGTCAAATTTGAGTGATAAACAGCGATACAAAAATTTCAAATTTTATCACAATATCTAACATGAAGTACATCGTGACGTCATATTTTTGTTTTAATAATCATAGTAAAAACTAAACAAAATGTCAATAATATAAAATTTTATTGCTTAAGAGTAGAGTTTATTCTTAAAATTTCAACAAATAATAGATTTCAGAAAATGTAAATTACAAATTCTGCGAATTTCCAACTAAAAAATTGTTGATAATGAAAACAAAGACATTAACAGACGCGCTTCGTAAACAAAAGGTATTTTTTTAAAGGCCAAATGGTTCCATGGTGACTGGACTTGTTTGAAGGAACGGTTTGTTTGACTCCGGACTTCACGGGGTAAAAGCCGCGAGTTTGTTGACATTACGTTTCTTTTTAACTGACATCAAAAACGGAAATAGGTTTTCAAACTACATGTTTCAGTTAATAAACATATCTTCCTGACGCCTATACACTAACTACACAAACACGTCACTTGTATATACTCTCAAATAAATCTATAAATATTAGTTTTCTTTAATTTCTCACACATTTCACGAAATTACTTTGCCGGCGAGGACGACGAGCACCCCAACTCAGTGTGTTCACGTAGATTCTATCCTACAGCATGCCCTTCTGGCGAAGTGTCAAGTACGCCACTGCGGTACCTGAGCGAGGCCTTGCTCATCTGGGCGCTCTCAGGCCCGCTAATTAATTTTTTGTACTGGTTTTTTTTATTATGACACCAAGTGACGGGATGAATAAGTCGTACGCCTGGTGGTAAGTGACACGCCTGTCTACAGCAGTTGTAGTGCTACTCAGAGCTTTAAATCGCGAAGATCTGAGAGGCTCTGCTACTGCGCCCGTCACCCTGAGATGCAATTTGGCAAGTATCGTTTCTTGTCTTTTTCAACAGTTCAAAAATTTTAACTTTTAAATTAGAGCTAATTCTAGTTCTAAAAACTGTTTTCTTGTTCGAGGATAAGAGTCTAGTGAACAGTAGTATAGACTTTTCAAATCTACGATGGGCAACAATCACTCACTTATGTTATTGATATTCCGAAATATATTG